ACTCGTAGGTACAGTTAACAAACGCCACTTACTAACACTTCGAACGATCACTTATTGAGTTTATAGAGAATAGTAGAAATAGACATGGCTTTTAATATTTTTTTTTTTTTAATATCTTACATTATAATGGGTAATACTTTTATATCAGCCAATAACTGTTCACTGCTGAACCTAGGCCTCCCTCATAAGGGGTGGATTTGCCAGTAACTATCACGCTTGGCAGTAAGCATAATATATCTAATATGGATACTGATTATACGATGAATACGATATCTACATACTGGGTCCCTCTGGACATTGATAAGAGTCTGTTATCCAATATTATTTTTTTCTCAAACATGCTTGGAAATGTGAGCATTATTTTGACAATCTTCTTCGAGATAAATCAAAATTGCCGTACTGGCCAGATACATGCGGGCAGCGGCATATTATAAACAAATATATAATTATAAACAAATCCTTGTAGAAGCAAAAAAAATGTACAAAAAAGGAAATTAATTTCTATGTCTCTGTCTGTGGATAATAAACTCTATGGTTTGACCACTTGATGGCATCCGATACCCACTTATCTCAGCGGACAACATCTATGTTGTCTATACTAATAAAATATTAAACTTGAAGTATATATATCTATATTTAATAAACATACTATTATAATTTTTCGTTCGTGTTTCAACCGTGAAGCAGTTGTGTTTGCATGGCTGTGTTTCGGTTTAAAGGGTGGGATATGGCGTGAATTTACTATTATTCATATTTATTGCATAATATTGGATAGGTGTAGGCCCTATGTAGACATATTATTATTAGTTGCATCGTACTATTTAAAATACTTACTTGTTTTATATAGATAGACAGATACTCTTTATTGTTTCCACCAAAAGATTACAATAGCAAACTCTTTATAGATACGAACAATTACAAGAAATGTTCACAGTGAGACTACAATGGGCGACCTGATCGCTAAAAACGATCTCTTCCAGGCAACCTTTGGATGGAGAGGAGTGATTAAAAATAGTTTGATCGGCGAAACGATGAAATTTCTGTTTTTAAATGCGTATGGAGATGATGAAACAATATATATTAAGTTAGTATGCCTATTCGTGTATTGTTATAGTATTTCATTCAACTCCGTTCTGTTTCCTTTACGTGATAGAATAACAAACATTCACCCATCCTCACAAACTTTCGTGTTTGTAATATATTAAAAGGTTGTGGAACCAATTAATGAAGACTTAAGCAACATTAGTCGCTTTAAGTGACTTTTTCGTAGATTTTGGCTGTTTCTACGGTTGGTCTTGACTCGTATCAATAAAAACTTAACCGCTCCGCATAAAAAAAAGAATTTCTAAAAATAGTGCGATTTTGCCTTATAGATGAATAGTGTGCCCTTAAGTCCCATTGTTAAACGAACATTCTAATCAAGGAACTAACAAATCTGAACTGTAAACTTTCAAGAACTTCATGATAATTCACATATCTAAATATTTACAATTTCATTTAAAACCTTTTACAAGTGTTACATAAGTATATTTACATATTATAAATAATTTTGGAGCAAAAAATTTAACTAATAATGTAAATTTGAATAAAAAATAATTAATTTAAATAATAATGAACTAACATTTTTGTTTTTTATCTTACTTATAACTTTGTACAAAACAATAAAGCCACATTTATAATTATTAGTTCATATTTCTTCTCATAACTATAAAACTAAATAAAGTTTACCACTTAGCCCATTTTTGAACAGAGGCACCTAAAACAGAACCTATAAAACTACTCCAGTGTTCAACTTTAGGACTTTTGCTTTAGAATTTAGATTACCCAAAAGTTGAACAAACATTTTTCATAGTTAAACTTCTAAATCTTACCTATTCAATGTCTAAAAGTTGAACTAAGAAAAATTTATCAAACAACCAAAAAGTCTGATAAATAATCGAAATGAGGTACAATTATAATTAAAAGATAAAATGTTTATTAGTACATTTTTATTAGCGTAGAGGTATATACTTAAAAGATAGTTATGCCTGTAATAAAATTATCTTTATCCATTATTTGAACGCTGTTCATCTTTTGAGTTAAGTATTTTAATTAAATCTTCTATAATTATATTAGTTTTGAGTGTCCATGCTCGAATCGCAGAAACTTGTTGTAAACAGGTTAGAGGCCTATTTGTATTTTTATTATACCAAAGGGGTAAAGAAAATGTTGCTGCTTAAGGGAAACAGATACTCGCTTAAGTAGAATGTATTTCTTATTATTTTGAAATAAGAATTACAATCTACCTATTTAAGAGACTCTGTTTCCATAAGTATTGTTTATTTTATTAATTTAAATGAAAAATAATTATTACTCTAAGTACTTTTTTCAATCCTATTACCTACTTATTTTTTATTATTTACAGATACCCATTTTCGTAATAATTGTTAATCAATTATTTAATTTGGAATTAATTATGTAAGCACCAAGCTACGATCTCAACTATGTATCAATGTTATAATTAAACACTGAGAAATACACAAATATGTAGTTAATTATAATAACTAATTATTTTATAAATAATTATTCCTTTAAAAATATAATTAAGGAAAATTAACACAAAATAATACGATACTGACAGAAAAATAAGGCCTAAGTCTAAAACTGCTCAAGACGAAAATTAAAAGAAAATTTATGTTGACACTTCCACTCACCCACTTCTTTTATTGGTCAACCACAAACGATAATGCGTTCTGATTGGTAGATTTAAATGAGCTCTAGTGAGTAAAAGGGACGCGACGTTTAGGGAATAGAATATTGTCGCTGCGCTAAAGAGAGATAGATAGACACTTCTCGGGTACTTACTGATAAAGCAACGCGTCAACGGTGGGTTAAGGAAGTTGGAAGCTACAGTACGGTGCGAAAGATTAATAGGGTTATTACACATTGGTACAGTACAAAAAAGTACATAACTCAAAGGGATGGAAGTAGGCATGGGTTACATGAATACCGATCCGATATCTATATATTAGATTCCTCTGGACAATAATGGCAGAAAAATGGTTATCACCCATTCAATATCGTCCATATCGGTCAGATATCTATTTTCGTATACCTATGTTAAAAATGGAATCTAATATAAACTAGAATTTAATGTATTTTTGGACAACTTTTAAAATATTCGTTATTGGACTAGTATATAGATATTGTAACAAAACTATATAGATATTATTACTTAGCCCAAGACTTCACGACACAGGGAATCCTAGTGTGAAGTCCTGGGAACAAATGTAAAATTGTATCATGTATTTTTGGATTTAATAAATATTATTATTATAAATACGGGAAATAATGTAATTGAAGTATTATATAAATATTTTTTTTCTTAATTACTATAGGTATATTATCCATCCCGGATACATTATGGATGGAGTACCCTCAGAATTTCCATGTTCTGTCATGAAAAATTAAATATATCTATCTATGTACATTGACATACATATACACAAGTACGCAGTGTGTACAATATTTCATACATCATCTTCATCATCATCGTATCAGCCATCAACTGTCTACTGCTGAACATAGGTTTCTCCCTTTTAGGAATTTTACCAGTAGTTAGTACGCTTGGCAGACAGGTTGGCAAGCACAGTTAGGCTTTAATATCATTTAAAGAGGGACTCTGATGCCAATCCCTTGACTATTAAGTTCCCTTAGTTGCCTCTTACGACTTCCACGGGAAAGGAAGAGGTAATTTTTATATATTTATTGCAAAACATGCAACACACTTGTATTAATACATTGGGATGAATATACCTAATAAAATAATATATTATTTTAAACACTGTTCTATATCTGTACATAATTTACTAAATCGTGGTTGTAAAAGCTAGTAAGCAACATGCACCGTTTCGAACCATCTATTACTGGCCAAGGATTGTAGGCACTTTTTTAATACAATGCATAGTTGAATATTTTTTTTATGCTACCTAGAATGGCAAACAATCTGACCGCCCACCTGATGGATAATGGTAACCGTCACCTATAGACATGAGCAGTACCATGGGCATAACAGAGTATAGGTACTGTTTCGCCCATGATACTCGCCCATGATACCCTCCATACGTTGCCATCCTGAGGCAATCAGGATCAGGTGTTATTCCTCTGTACCCTATAAATTAACTGCCATATGCCCTTCAAACCGAAACAGAGCCATGCAAACACAACTGCTTTACGGTAGAAACATGAATGGGACAGATGTGCCCAAGGAAACGACTTTTGTACATAATCTCCCTCTGGTTGACACACATGCCTCAATATCACCACATGTTTGATTAAAAATCTCCACCGTAAATACTACGAAAATATGAGTGTACTGTAAAACACGTTTGTAAAAAAAAGGTGAAGTGGGTTTATTAGCTTGAGTTTGAGGAATTATAGAAATGTCTACTCAGAAATGATATTTTTCTATTATCTGAAATTCTAAGATTCTTAATTGCCAGGGTCATGTCGATATATTTCAATATTTCATGAATCTGCCCCTATCCCATGTTTTTATTTTTACTACTATTTTACTATTATTTTATCACTTTCAATAACTCCTAGTTGATAAACTCTGGGTATTCTTATCCTGTTTGTAAATATTAATTTTGTTAAGTTTTCTAATATACATATGTATGTATCATGGATACATTAACTAAATACGACATTATGATGTTACAGATCCACAAGTATATTAGAAAATAGTAAGAAACAACCAATTCTCATTAGCAGTATAACAAACACAGTGACCTAAGCGATCAAATCGCATTCACATAAACATCTTCAAGAAAAACTCAACGATCCCCACTACTTACGCTACTTCTCGAGCTTTTTTAAAAAACGTCCGCCCTAAAGTATTGCTGTCTCACTTTACCGCCCTACAATTCGCTCATCTACTTCTATTCCTGTCCCTCTCTAAGGCTTATAGCACGTCAAACAGGCGGGCAATCTATCACACAAAGTTTATTCGTTTGAGGAACGCTTTTGCGGTAAGGCGAGCTCGGAACGCGCGTTAAGTGATAAAACGATTCATGTGACTTAATTTTCGAAAATGGAATCAAAATTGAAAACCTTCAAGGATTCGTTGACATTGCAAGACTGTGAAAAAACTAATTTGACGACTCCCTTTTCGATAAACGATATACTTACAAAAGAGAATGAAGCGAGGTGCGATTTTGAAAATGGAATGTATTGTCAGGAAGCAGATTTTGGCGGGAAGATGAATTTTTTGGGGAAAACACCAAGTTGCTACAGTAAAGATGATGGTTACTCGAAAAAGGAGGTTTCAGAGAAAAGATTAAAATATTATGATGATTGTAATGGCTACAGGGATTATAGTGATGATGGTGCTTTGGACATGTCCAGAAAAAATAATTATGCAGTCACAGAACTATCAGGTGGGTTTATTTAGACAATTTATATATTTGATAAAGTTTATTTATTTTTAAAATTTTATTCCGCCTTGAAAATGTAAATGGCGGACTTAACACCATATGGGTTTATCTACAAATCGACCGTAGACAGGAATAACAGAAAATAATTGACGGTACAACGTAATATTAAATTAAAACAGTAATTTAAAAATAACAATCATAATATGTACACTATTTACATTATACATATATATGTTATTTTATGATTTAATTATTGTTTTAGGAAAATTATATGTATATCTGTAAATTTATTTAGGTATTTATTATAAATCATTGCACTAACATTTAATTTTTTTAAGCTTTTGATATCTTAAAACGTTATTTTTTATATTTCATTTTAAAATACTTATAAAAAGTTTATTTTAAAAACTTTACTTTATAAATTTTAACTTTATAAATTTTTACTTTGAAATAGTACCTACTTTATCACAAATAATTTATTTTAATATATTCAAGTTACGTAGTGTATGAATTAATTAGATAATTATATATGAAAATTGCCAAAAACTAGTGATTAATTTCACAAAAGTCTTTTGAGATATGATAGACTTTTGAGTCTACCTACCTACATAATATAAACCATTAATTAATTAACCAATAATTAATTTGTGATTGAATGCAGATTTTAATTTACAATTTATCCCTGTGATAGTATATTGTAATATTAAATCAAATTAAAAGAAAACATGACGATAAATAGATACATAACACCATTAGGTATTAACAATAATATTTCCACTTTTCCTCGTCAGCGATAATCGAGAAATCTACCTCTGACTACCCTGAAGAGGAAATAATAGCACGTACAACTAATTACTTGTATAGCATATAAATAAATTACTATACAGATTTTGTTTAGACTCGTCACTATAAATATATTTTTTTATTCTTCAATTAGATATCTATAAAAAAAAAAACTGGTCTTTTTAAATTTAAATCTAATCTTCATATCTCAAGATCCAATGATTTTCTGAAGCATGTCAATACATTTTCAAATATAGAACACGACAAAAAGTTGTTTTTAATTCATCGCCGAGTCACTCCAACCATCGGTCGTTGATGACTAACCGCGATCTAAATTTAAATTAGGATCATCAATTATAAGACTGCCGAATAGTATCATTCTTTCTTAATACGTGTTTGATTCATAATACGCGGTGTAATGGTTTAGAGCTAATAATTATTCATTTTTTTTTATTAATTAATAAAAAAAAAACCTATGTATTCGTAATATAAACACGATATTGACCTATTAAATACGAGTATATGAATATTATATATAGTATATGAAATGATGATATCCGCAAAAGAACCGAAGTGGCCGACATAGCCCGAAGGATAAGCAAGCTAAAAAGTGGCAATGTACTGGTCACATAGCTCGAAGAATCGATAACCGATAGGACAGAAAGATTCTTGAGTGGCGATCCTCTATGGATAAACGCAATGTAAAATGACCCTATTAAATGGAGTGACGACTTCAAAAATATTATAGAGAATCGGTGAATGCAGGCAGGTGGCTCAGATAGTACCTTATGACAGTCCATGGAGGACAGATAATGGCTAAGATGATAATGATATTAATATTTTTAATTTACTTCCAGGTAGGTAGGTATATAAACAAGTGAAATACATAAACATATTACTATGTAATTAGGTTATGTACATTGGGTACGTAATTGGGTTCTTTATTTCATTTATTCATAAAAAAAAAACTTTTATTTTATGTATAAAGTTTTAATCCAATAATTTTAAAATTTGTCTTACATCATTTTATAATTCAACTTCAATAATAAAAAAAGTAAAAGTACCTAAACCAAAGGTGGGTAGGTAGTACCTACTTGAGTATAGTGAATCGATATTAAATTCTAAATTCAAATTAGCCTCCAGCCATAATTACCGCGACGACAATGGCAGTGTAATGGCGCGTTCACACTGGCCGTGCCACCGCGCGACGTCGCCACTTAGCCGTCACTTCGTGCGATTACACGACACCCTCATTACTATAAGTAATGACGCTTAAAAGCACTATTGAAGCATTCAATTTAGTAATTACTAGTTACGTTGTTCGCAGCACGTGCCGAGTTGAATTATGCGCGGTTTTTGTTACTGTAATTTTTTATTGTATTATGACTTTTTTTTCTTTTAATAAATATTTTTAATTTGACATTTACTTAGCATATGAATAACATCATAATCATTCGCGAAATCAAAGTTATTCTAACCCAACTAAGTAGATAAAATATTATAACACTATAGAATACAAGCAATATAATTTGAAAAAAAATCTCTGTATTATAAAATTGTTTTACTTAAAAGCGTTATTATGCGTCATAGAAAGCAAAATCAGAATGCTTGAAGATGAACGATATACTGATATAACCTGAAGAGGTCGAAGGAATGAGTGACATCATCGCTTTACCAAAATAACAGTAAATGATGGGAAAGAAAAATCTCAAGTGGCAATCTCATAAGGCTAACATGTTCTAAAACTACCCCTCACCAAATCAAGTAACGAGATTAAATTTTTGCACGAAACCGATTGTATGGTGGGTGGAGAAGCTATGTTCAACAAAAGACTGTATACGATTAAAATGTATAATAAAAATTAACATGACGATCATATGATGTTATTTTATCAATATAAAAAAATAATTTAGATTGTGATTTACAAAAAATACGACTTCAATTGTTTAAATATACATTTATACAGTTATAATAACATATACAGTTATTTTGATATATTTATTTTGATATAATATATTATATTTTGATATGGGCATAAACAGTTATTTTGATTTACAAAGTATACTTATGAACCGATTATAATAAACTTTTTATGAGACTAAACTGTATATAATATAAAGTATATAAGTATATAATTTCAGATAAAAAACAAATTTTCTAAGTCGATTCATTACTGACTGAGTTATGAGGTAACAAGTATAAGAAAAATATACAACCGATTTGACAACCTCCTTCTTTTTGAAGCCGATTGAAAAACACTTGAACTTTACCTACAATTTAGATATCACATAGAAGGTGTCATTATATTGACTTATATTATTTGATCATATAAGATTTAACAAATGTATTTTCTGCACTTTTGCTTTATACTTACAGCTGTTATTAATTTTATTTATTAATGTTATATATACCGAATATTAAGAATGCACTCTGAGACCGTTGTAGTCGCTATCTAGATATCGACAATTATTATTGAAAAAATATTATCATTTGCTCCTATAAATAGCCACATTAGTGTCTTACAGACATCGCCAAAAGGCAATCATAAGTTATACCAAATTCTAAGGATGTTCAAAATTACATGCGCCCAAAACAACAATAGTGGAAGTAACAACACGCAAAAATACTGTTAACCGTCGTCGCTCGTCCTTTCACGGTGTCTAATGACCGGCGACAATCTGCGTAATGGATCCATTGTGTTGACTTTATACGCAAATAGCGTGATACGATAACCGATTTAATTGATTCCGGGCTCGGGGTGATATGAACACGCCTTACAGCTTTTGCGTTTATACTTATTATCAAGTTTCTTTTGGTAATTTATCATTTTATTTATAGTACATATATATACATAAATAATCTATTGTGATAATAAATCTTATTTAGGTACAACGGTTTTACGGAAGGATTGCATTTCGGAAATATTATCTAATGATATTTATTAACGATTTAATCTTTTAATAGATAAATGTTCACAAATTGATCAGTTATACTTAATAACGTAACACAAGGGAACATCGTTAGTAATGGGGAGTAATAACCCCATTGCCAGCAATATACCATATTAGGTCGACCTTCACGCGGTTCCCCCTGAAAATCATTGTGGTTTAATTCTTGTGGAACTCGTCACAATGGGCCAACTGGCCTGACTTCATCCTCACTTATCATCTCTCACTGGTCCCCGCTCGTGTATATCGATAGCGTGGACGGGGTTATCATTCCATTTTCACCCACAAAAAAATAATCTAACACAGTTATAATACCCACCAGACGAAAATAAATGTGAAACGTATCACGTAGTAACATAGTTTTGACATAAATACCACTTTATATAAGATACATAAAGATATAATAAACATAAAATAAATCGACTTTAATCCTATTTCAATTGTTACAGATGACTACGACTCTCGTTCATCCAACACTGGTTCACCAACCCGTCGCAATTCACCAAGCTCAGATATCGGCTACAAACCATTCAGTCTTCACTACGAACCTCGAAAATGTTCTACACCACCCCCCTCGACCGATTCAAGGATCTCCAACTCACCAAACTTCACCATAAACGAGTATACACAAAATGGCGGCCGCAAAAAACGATCCAGGGCTGCCTTCTCTCACGCTCAAGTGTACGAATTGGAAAGAAGATTCAGCCAACAAAGGTATCTATCAGGTCCCGAACGAGCTGACCTGGCCGTAAGCTTAAAACTTACAGAGACGCAAGTCAAGATATGGTTCCAGAATCGCAGATACAAAACGAAGAGAAAGCAGCTGCAAATGCAAGAAAATGGGATGTTAGCGGCCGCAGCGGCGGCTGCAAACCACGCAAGGAAAGTGGCCGTGAAAGTGCTAGTTAATAACAACGGACAGCCAACCCTACCTGATATTAAGTCTTATCAAACACCAATTTTAGGCAAAACATTAAATCCAGCATTATTCGCCCCGCCTTTACTAGAAGGATCTCCAATTTTAAAGCATTTTGCAGGAGTTTACGGGGTCGATTTCGCTAAAAACCCAGAATATAAGGCCTTGTTACAGGAATCATACAATCAAGCTGTTCTACAATCTTTGTATGGACCTCATCTTGGCGTTAACTACCCCAATTTACCACTGTCATATATGTACTACCCTGGACATCCAGCTTTTGGTATGCCGATGCCGTGTGATTTAGATAGAAGTCACGGAGATTCTAGAACAGATGGTGGGAAAGACATGGGAGAACATTCAGATAAAGAAAAGCTGTCCGAGAAAATTAAAAACACAATCGATGTAAATGAGAATAGTAATGAAAGCATGGCTAGTAACATTGAAGTAGAAAACTAAAAAGTAATAAATATAGGTACTACAGATAAAAGTATGTCTATTTCAAATTTATGAAATGCAGCATTAAATCAATATTAGAAAACATTTCACAGAAAATAAAATAACACACAATATAAAAGCTTTTAATATCGAATAAATTGATTTGCAATAAAATTAGTACCTACTTAATTACAAATTTAGAATGTTCTCGAAACATTAAAGGCGTTTTGTTTTTAAACGATTGCAATAAAAACCAAAGATATTAAGTTGTAGAGTCAAAAGTATAATTTAGTTACATTTTAGCTAGTAGAATTGTTACTGTTTAGTTTTTAATCTGTTGTAAATAATGTTTAAGAGGTTGAATAAATGTTTTACGTAAGTAGTTAATGCAAAGTGCACGTTTGTAAATAGTACAAAATTGATGAGACGTTTAATAAAGGTGCAATACAGTTTCTTTTTTATTTTAATTTTCCCCCAAGAATAATTAAATTTAGTAATTCCATATAATGAATAATATACCAATTTTTAATGAAATAGTGTAAACGATCTATCAGTATAAAACAGTCCAATGCAATGCGTTACAAGAACCAAACGCTTTCTTACCAATTGTTCTGTTCAGTTATCTTTCGAAGAACCAAGGTTTTGCCTTAAACCATACTTAACAATATTATTATCCTTGACACCATTAGCTTGCCCGTCAATATAAATACAGCAATAGGTAAGACTTATTCAGAAGTGACACAAAATAATACTATGACTATTAAATACTTTTTAGCATGTATTTCGATGGTCTACCATTTTAGAAATATCTACTTCAAAATAATTGTATAAATTGAATTGAATATAAATTGAATTGAATTAATTGGCTAGTCCACAAACTAACCAATTAGTTAAAGCCAATTAGCAACTTTTGGATTGGATTTGGATTTTTTTGAATTTACTAGGTACAGAGGAATAACACCTGAGTCCTCAGGAATGGCAACGCATGAGGGGTATCATGGGCGAAACAGTACACTCTGTTATGTCCATGGTACTCCTCATGTCTATAGGCGACGATTACCACTTTCCATCAGGTGGGCCGTCAGCTTGTTTACCATTTTAAGTAGTATAAAAAAAAAAACTAGATAATTAGTCGTATTATTTTCCTAAATTTAATTTAAACCAATTATGAAATCGGGGATCATGTTTTTTCCAAAGGTGCAACTTCCATAATAATAGTCATAATTTTTTATATGGTTCAGATCTAATCTATAATTTATTTATATAAAGGGATACAGCTAGCATGTTCAGTTTCGTCCGCATGATTTGTAGGTACTTTACCGTAAGAGTTAAAGAAATAAAAAGTAATATTCCTTATGTTCTTAGTGGATGATAGTGGAAAGGTAACTCCGCATGCGTTATTTGTATAGGTATACGCTGGCGGGGCTCCAGTGAGTATTGAAAGGTGAGAATGAAATTAGGTATGTTAGCCCATTGTGATGAATTCAAGAAGAATTAATCACGATATAAATACGATTGTTAGCAATGGAAATTAACGCCCTAATTACTAACATTTCCTCCCTAACCCTTCTATATTACTAATATGTAATATTGAAGGTTGAGGAATTACGATTTATTACGCCATTGGTAAATACTTTCAAGCTTTAATAATATCTACCTGTAACCTGCAGCTTTACTTATGTTAATTGGACTAAAAGTATTTATATATCTTAGATAATCCAGAATAAATCCATCAGTATCCCAAATTTTGTCCAAATTCCTTCAATCGTGCAACTATGATTGAGAAGATAACAACCATCTAGTAGATAGTTTTTTAAACTCATTTTTTACAATAAAGGAAAATGTAAGTGTTCCTGGCAAAATCTGTATATGTCTGCAGACTTAAGCTGAAAACAATATATTTTATTTATGCATCTTAGAATAGTAAACAAGCTGACAGTCTACCTGATGGATAGTGGTAGTCGCCTAGATGCCGTAGACATGACCAGTACCATGGACATAACAGAGTATACTGTTTGACACATGATACTCCATGCTTTACTATTCTTGAGGACTCAGGTGTTATTCCTTTGTAAATTTACTGCCTTATCCCACCTTATTATTAAAGAGAAAGTGTAAACTGTAGGTATATATAAGATCGATGATCTAATGCATGATCAAGTGGTCTACAAGTTAACAATTACCTGTAATTAACATAGTTTGGATTTTATCAACGTCTGTTAGTTAAATAAAAAAACGAGTCCTTTCTTTTAAGCATTATTACTTATCTATGTTGTCGTAAAAGAATATAGAATAATTTCAACCCTCAATATCATTAAGAACCGCCAAGACTTGTTGAAGTGAGTTGAAGACGCTGTTCAAGTGCGCCGGGGACTGAAGAATGCCCGCGAAATCACCGCTAGAAATTGCACACGGAGTGATCTCTAATATGAAAAGAGCTTTTTTAATAAAACATTTATTTGTCTTTTTATACGACTGCTCAAATAAATACGATATTTAGGGTTCATGTGTGTATGTATGTGATTTTATTTATTTTGTTTGAATGTATGGTGTAATATTAAAAAACTTACATTATCCTGAGTAACTATACTTTTTATGTCTGTTTGACAAGGCGATCGTGTTTTTTTTTTTTTTTAATTTGCGAGTAAGAACTTGTTTAATTACAGTTCTCCATGGATCTTCCTTCCTTTATACCGATTTAATACTTCGTTTTTGATATATTCATAAACAAAAAATATTTGTTCGTACCTTAATCCAATAATTCCTCGAACCTAGATAAATGTGGTTTTTGGCCTGCAATGGTGTTCCAATATACCAGTTACATTATTTACTTTTTATAAAATGAACGCTACAATTTAAATAGGTTCTTTCAGTACTGGATATTTTACTCAAGATTATCAAAGATGTAGTTCTGAGTTATTTAAACTCATTCCACATCTCTTACTATTCATTTATAATGTTAAGGATCTTTGTAAACTTTAAGAGTAGAATATGATGACTCTCATTAAAAATAACTATATATTTTTTTATAAGTTCACATGTTAATTACATTGATGTATAAATAACCTAGATATATAATTAGAGAATTAGAATATTTTATGTGTATAATATTAAAATTTTTTAAACGGTTAATATGCAACTTGTTCAATTTATTGCATTTTAAATTTATTTTTGAAATTCGACATAAAAATGCGAATCTTATAATTTGAATATTTTTTAATATATATTAAATATATTTGAATATTCCCTTCAGTTTAAATATTTAAACTGTGTCTTTTTAAATGAATTTTTATAATATTGTTATTATAGTCCGTTTTAATTAAAATTAATACAAAGTTAAACAAGTTCAGTCGAAATTATCGTAGTACACTACACAGAACATCCTAAATGAAATTAGTAAGAAATCAAAAGTTTTAATATATTAATCATTTTTTATTCATCAACGTAATGTCTTATGGTCGGTTCAATTTTTCATTTATTCACATTTTAATTTGATTTAATGAAACAAACAGAACTATAACGTAGATTTAACCCATTAAGTGACATTATTGATAAATATTTGTGTATCACTCCACACTACCCGAACTTCCTCAATGAAATAAAATTACCATATGAATACAGTGTCGGGAGGGGGCGGGGTACGTAGAACGAGGGTCTGGAGGCAGGAGGCAACATTATGAAAATACCAAGTTACAACTTCCGGACCAAGAATTTTCTAAGACTCGTCGGCTCACAGTACCGCTTCGCGCTAGTAGCCACGCTTTTGAACTGTAGTCACTTTGCACATTGGCATCATAATAAAAATAGAGAAGTAAGTCTACTTCTATAAAAAAAATATTAAGGTATTTTTCTACAAAAGATAGATAGATAGACACTCATTATTATTTTCTCCAAAAGATTACAATAGTAAACTTATTATAGATACCTACAAACAATTACAAGAAATAGTGACAGTGAAAAACAACAGGCCTTATCGCTAAAAGCGATCTCTTCCAAGTAACTTTTGGATGGAGAGGAGTGATTACAGTTTGATCGGAGATATGAATCCATGCAATGCAAAAAATGTAAATATATATCCCTATATATATATTATAATATATATACATATATAACAACATATAAATATTTACCTACTCTCATATATACATAAAAGATAAAACACAAGTAAAGATATGCACAATATATCCTAATTAAACATTTGCGTAGTAGATATACATGAATTTATATATAAATGAAAATAATAAAAGTAATATTGAAATAAATTGCAGCCGGGGCAGTCACGTTTAAAAAAGTGAACAGTTTTAAATGCAATTCGATAGATATCCCGAATTAATACACAATTAATAATTTTTCTTTAGGTTATAAGATCACAATACTCTTGACATCTTGCCTATCGGTGATCTTTACTTAAACGTAATGCATACAAAATAATTATTGATTACACAAATATATTTTAGTGTAACAGAATGTGAAAAGCTTAACACCATTTTGAAGTAATATTATACGGTCATCATTTGAGCAATATTTAGTGATGGGCTGTAATTAACAGATTGTCCTATACACGTAGACGCCTAAACACCGCATTACCGCTCATCCTCTCGCTAGGATATGCATAAGGATGAGATATTTGTCGATGTAATCGAAGTTATTAATTAATTTCTTGTATAATTTTAAATTGTACTATATTTTTTTTTTATAATTATAAAAAAACGTTCTAGTAAATTGAGAACCAGCCAGCTTCTTTTGAAAAGATTGAAAAATATATACGGAGTGAAAGTCGTTTTTCTTTTTAAGTCGAGAGAACGCAAAGAAATTAATAACCTCAAATAAAAATCAGCATCGTTTAATTTATTGGATTTGTTTTTTCTCCAAAAAAAAGCAAGTGAAAGTTAAAGTTCTTTAGTTATCAAACATGCAAGTAAATGCATTTTTTACAATATATTTATTTCTGTGTTTCAACTTTAGTACTGGAAGGTCGGAATGTGGACGTCTTAAAGATAAAAATACGAAGATAAATTTTTAGTCGTAAATTGTGTCTGTCTTCCTGCATTTGGCATTATAACCAAGGTAGAGATCAGACAGAGTCTCGTCAAAAATTTTATCTTAGTCTATCAAATGTCTTAGCGATCAGCGAGAAAACCAGACAAAAAGGATGCAACAAGTATGTTACCCAAGAACTTTTAAGACAGTTCTAATATAATTACGGTCGCTTTTTCTTCTAAGTAATATACATTTTCTATCGATATCCATAGCGTAAAGCAGAATAGTTTAAATGCACTTTCCTGCATTAGCATCAGTACTCTGTACGGCTCGTGTTACACAGTTCGCACGTGCGCCGGGCGCCGGAAATGTCGTCGAGTAAACAAATACGCCGTCACTCGGCGCATCACTACGTTGGTCATAGACTAATTTGAAATTAGTCAAAGAGTTATATTAAACGCATAAATTTTTAT